ATGTCATTCTTTTTACATCGGTTAAAACCGATGTCGTCTGTGCTTTTTATCGGCCCTTTGACAACTTTTCTACATCAGTTATAAAAACAACTTTTCACGGTCACTAGGCGAATTAGTCATGATCATTGGACGGATTGGTCACTGGTCAGGTTAGTCACTGACTGAATTAGTCATTGGTCAAGTTGGTCATGGTTAGTAGTAGTAGTTTAGTCTCATTTTTGAATTTTTGTTAAAAGTGTTCCTATATTTGTCCATAACACTTGTTTTAGTATGGAGTATTATTTATGGGCAAACCCCTTATAATAATGACAAACAAAATATTAAAAGTTGCAGGGATCTAACATAATGTATATTTATAATTGCTAAGGACAAAAATCAAATTCATGTATAATTAAGACATCAGGGTGAATGACATGAAATTTTAAATAGTAATATAACTCATAAATAATGTGAAAAAGCCATATAAACCTCTTCAATGCAGTGTCGCGGCCAAGCATATATCTAAAATCTAAATCTAATTAAAAACTTATAAGCAGCAATGATGGTTAGGGCATTTTAGGAATGATAAAAATGTTGGTGTAACACTAAAGCAATTTACACTTGTACAATTTGTTTTAGTCATTGTACCATTCATCATTAAATCTAAATCTCCACCTTAACTCCGTTAACTCCAACGGTTTCCAACTTTTGAGTTTCCAACATGATGCCTTCACATTTTAATTATTCTATGCACTTAGATTTATTTGATTTCCGTTTAATTAATTGAATTCCTCATCATGTATTTTACCTTATGCAAAAATTTCGAAAATCATTATTCTATTATAATTATTCTAATTTGTCATGTCTAATTTAATTATTCATCATATTTTTACTGCTTATTTTATATATATATATATATATATATATATATATATTTAAAAATCTTAACATTTCAAAAGTAGGTAGATTAAGAATAGTGAAAGAGGTTATATAACTTTTGAGGGTATGATGGGAAGATAGTGGAATAATGTGATGGAATGAAGAACAAGTCCGGCCAAAAAAAAATTGTAATAGTGTATTATTTTCAAAATTATTGGGGGCATGATGAGAAGATTTTTTTCGTTAAGAACAAAAAAGGAAAGTGAGAAGTTTTTTTTTTGTTACAGATGGAGTAAGTAGTAGTAATAATATTTTTTGGCCGAAGCGGGGGCAGTTGCTCCCCATGCCCCCTAGCTCTTCCAATGCCGATATCGTACTTCAATACTCCGTGTATATTAATTTCTCTTATTATAGTGGCATAATAGATGATTATTTGTACAAGTAATTGTGTGCAAATATGAGATTACTATGAACGGAAGATGTTGATCATCACCCCCCATCACCCCCTACTACTCGACCCCAAGTAATATCTAGCCGGCCATTGCAATATTTTATTTCGTATGCTTATCAAAGAGGATTATTAACTTATTGAATCAGAGATATTATTAATTTTACCCATGACACTATGTATAATTCACATTCGTTATTGCACTTGCCTCTTATTACCACATGTTTGGTGCTATTGGATTCAAATATTAAAATGGCATACATGTTTTAGCTAGGCCTTATCAACCTAATCATCCTGCCCACCCTTTCTTAGATTGTTTATTGCCACATTATTGATATTACATTCTTATAGGGCGTTCCGGAACGATCCTTGTCAGGCTTACGGGAACATAGATGTGTCACACCCCTTTTTGTATCATCTGTTATGTGGGAAAATATGCATAAAGCTAATCTTGTGTGCAAGTTCACATAACTTAAATATATTAATCATTAATATTCACATTATGTTAACCTTGTCAAAATAACATTGGGCATTTTTCCTCGCGCATCGCGCGTTATAGAACTAGTAAAATTGATAATGATGCAAATTGTAGGAATAAGTAACCAAAAAAAATTGAAAAAACTTAAAATCATACACTATATTTATGGGAGGGACAAAACATATTTGGGAAAGTTCCCGATATAAGACTAAAAAAGTGTGAAAATTCCAAAATAGGACTGTCATGTTTTTATTCCGAAAATAGGACTAATTACTGCCAAGTTTGGAAAATATTGCCATGTTTGAAGTCTGGTATTGCTAAAACATGGCAGTAACAAGTCCTATTTTGAGAATAAAAACATAGAAGTCCTATTTTGGAATTTGCAAACTTGTTTAGTCCTATTTCGGGTAATATCTCAACATATTTTTAGCCATATTGGATTATTATAAACCTGGTTTCGCAAATTGAGAAATCTTATTTAAAGCTCAGATGAGTTCAACCAAGTGAACATTTCTTCTTGCTAGGCAACATTAAAAGAACTACAACCCAAAAGAGAGGCATAAATACGATTTTTTCACAACAAATAATACCTCCTTCTTGATCATGCTCGAAAAAATTCAAAAGCCTGCTTGAATTCAGTGTTGGAGGAAAAGTATTTGGATTAAAAAATGACATCCTTCTTGAGTGCTGGAAAGAGGGTAGGAAACCACTTGAACTCTTGAAGAATAGTATTTCAGAAATCATCACTACTAATATCAACAATATATCATCCTAATATTTGAACACGTTGAATTGTCCATAGAAGAAATCATCACTGATTCAAGCTTTCAAAAAGCATTGAAACAGAAAAGAAAGAAAAAACACTTATCCATTTCAACATTTCCACTACAAGTCCTCCTTAAAATATGAACAGCCCGTTTGGTAACACTGTTTTTCAGTTTATAAGGCTTATCAACCAATCCAGTCTATTCCCTAAAAATCCATTTTATTGTAATAACTTTTATTGTAATAACACACTGCATTATATTTAAGTTTTAGACTTTAGTCAAGCAAGAAGAGAAACATGATTTTTTTTCGGTTACGGTAGTATGATTCAAATTCACAAATCACAAGCCCAAATTATAGGCTAGCTTCCTGTGACTTTCAATATGATCAATCTTGGAAAGAACATTGACATATGGCAATTCCAAATGTAGCATGGTTGATAATCACAACAGCAATACACCCACATGCTTTCCAGGATCACTACAAAGATGCGGATCAACTAAATATATAGGCCGTTTGGTAACACAGCTTTTCGGCTTATCACGCTTATCGACCAGTTTTTTCACCAACCTGTAATTTTTGCTTTCGCGCGCTGAATTGTGTAATAAGCAGAAAAAGTAAGGTTAATGTTACTTTGCTGGCTGTATTGGCTGAAGTAACTGTAGATGACCATTTTAGCTATTTTTACATATAATTTTTTCTTGTTTTATTAATAAAATATATTTTAATTTTTTTTTCTTGAATCAACCGATGCAGCCACTTCAGTCATAAATTTCAGCAGAATCAACCAAATCAGCCGATTTTCGTGCTACCAAACAGGCTCATACTGCAGTCGACCTAAGATTTAACTTCTTGATGAGTTTCATTATCACCGTAGGCGTTTAACCTTTTTGGCGTTTTCATGTAGAAAAAATAGCTCTACCTGACTCTGAAAATCAAAGAGAATGTAGTGATCTTTTTGGATGGGTTTCAACCTGAGACATGCCATTTCAGTGAATGGTTTTGTCGGAGCCGGGAGGATCAATCACTATCTGACCTAACACCATTCCAGTTTTATAAAATTTCTCTCTGGGTTTCGCCGGAGCCGGAAGTGTGTGGTGTCAACTGATGTAACGGGACAGAGGTTCTCCGACAGAGGGGAGTTCCCCTTTTGGCTTTCTTCCTTCTGGCCTTAAGCGCTATAGAGCTTCGCAGATTTCTTTCTGCATTTTGCGCGATCGTAAGATTAAAGAGAGGCTAACGTCCTGGCCTTTAGATAATTGAGATGTTTTTATTTATTACTCCCTCCGTCCCATTTTATGTGTTTTAGTTTAACTTGACATGATTATTAATGAAATGGTTGAAAAAGTAAAAGTTGTAGTTGAGGTTTGAGTATAATAAAGTGAAATGGTGTAAGCCACATATTTCTTTCCAAAAAAAAAAAGTAGACACTTATTTTGGGACAACCCAAAAAGGAAAGTAGGACAGGTAAAATGGGACGGAGGGAGTATTATTTAATTAAGTGGCTTTGTTTAGTAAAAAGAGGGATGTGGATAAAATTTCTCTTCAGGAATATGCAAGGGGAATTGTGAAATTGTCGCATTGATTCATTCAACAGATACTCTAAAATATAATTCTTGAAATCAAATGTTCATTTTTATATCCCATAAAAATACGTAGTACACATACCCTTAGAACAACACTGGACTACAAAACATTTCCAAACATGACCTTTAGTATTAAAAACATAACTTTAGGACATGAAGATGGTTATCAAGATTTCATCTAGTCTCGTCACAGAGGAGACATTATTGAAAAATGAGACGCCAACTACACACAGATTAACAATGGTCAACTTATTTATAGACCAGTAAATTAGAAGCCTGTTATCTCAAATAAAAAATTAGAAGCCTGTTGTGCCCTGTGAACAAAGAGCAAAATAAAGTCTTCCTTTGATTATTATATCATCCTATTAGGAATTTGATCATTTAACATAAAATTGCGTTCATATATAGGCCGGAGTTCAGAAATCGTTTACATATCCATTTATTAGCAGAGATATTCATTTATAACTCAACCAACTCACAAATTAAAGCTATAAAGTTATAAAGTTTAAAATAACAATGAGAATCTCTGCTAATATATTCAACTTACACATTACTTAATATAATAAGTAATAGGGAAAACTGTCAAATAGGTCCTCGAACTTTCATAAAAAAGTCAATTAAGTCCTTCTATAGGAAACTCTGTCTGGCCGTCGCGATTTGGGGCGGTTCCTGGTGGAATTTTTTGATGAAAATTTTTGAGCATCTTATTCATCAAGTCTAGTTTACTCATACCAAATTTCAGTTAAAAATTCAATTGGGAACGCATTCAAATTAATTCGAGAACGCAAAAATGCGCAGTTATCTTCAAGAATTAATTTGAATGTGTTCCTGGTTGAATTTTTAGCTCAAATTTGGTATGAGTAAACTAGACTTGATCAGTAAGATGCTAAAAAAATTTCACCAAAAAATTCCATTGGGAACTGCCCCAAATCGCGACGGCCAGACAGAATCTCTTATAGAAGGACTTAATTGACTTTTTTATGAAAGTTCGAGGACCTATTTGACAGTTTTCCCTAAGTAATATCTACTTCTTTATGGGCACGCAGGAAGCACATAAGGGTCTCCATATCTTCAGATGGATTGTCGTCTGAATCCATATAATTTGAAAAAAATAGAACCTTCTCAAGGGCAGGAAAGCGGCAAAGTAGCCATTTGAAGAATGTCATTTTAGGACTTGACCCATGAAACCAGCAAACTATGCTTAAATCCCGAATTGTATCGAATGTTTGGGCCAACGTATGCTCAGGGACCATCAGTAGGTCTTCTTCACTTGTAAACCTTTCCCCGAACTAAGGGAAAATGCATTGCAAAACAACAAATAGAAAAATCAATTTAACATTCAAAGATCAAGACTGAATTGAAATGCAACAGAAAAACTCGAGAGATTATTATTCACGAAAGAGAAGATTACCGTTAAATGTATATCAAGTTTGATTAACATTGGGCACATCCGCAACAAGTGTAAGAAAGTTGATATGTTATCCGAATACTTGTCATTCAAGCGTAGCTTCAGGTGTTCCACATTTAGTGTAGTCTGTGCTTGACCAATTCTAGATAGCTCTTCAACAAACCTCTTCAAAAAAAAATTCAAATTTGAATTGTTGAAGTGTCTTCTTGTGAACATAAACGAATAGTAACTTAAGTGAAGTGACTAGAAAAGCACGTATATATACCCCAAGTCCAATATTTCCAATATGAAGATAGCGTAAAGTTCCCAAGTCGAACTTAACCGGAAGAATGAGACAAGAGTTTGTTCCAGCAATGTTAGAATACCGACGAACACAAAATTTCAAACTTCTAAGCATTGGGGCAGTAAAGTCAAAATCAGAAATGCTTTCACAGGTTAGATTCCTAAGCATAGGCAGTTCAACATGAGAACATTTTGTTTGATCAAACTTGACATTTTCTAAGAAAAGTGAAGTAACATTCGGGAATATGCAAGGGGCTCTAATTTGGGCAAAAAAGACTCCTGAAAGATGCAGTGTCTGTAGCGTTAGGCAAGAAAATATGCAATCTGGCAATACGTATCGAGTACATGAACAAATAGAAAGATGTATTCCCTCGACTCCTTTTCGGGTGAGACGATGTAACATTTCATCAAAGTCCAACCACGTAGACATCTTATTCATACATCTTATCATGTAAAAATCAAACTTAAATTTTCGAATAGGTCCTTTGTGCTTGATGATGATTGTCTTGATTATGAGTGTTGTTAATGCTTCCATATGACGGCTCCGAAGGTAAATGAAGAAGTGGCTGTCAAAGTTGAGGTGTGGCAGACTTAACCAAGCATCTCTCAAACTCGTACACAAAAGGGCAGATATAGCAGCTTCTCGAATCCGCAATAATCCTAAAATATGGGCTAGTATATCCAGAGGAAGTCCACTGATTCTGTCTTTCACCTTCATAGCAGATAAATTTACCATGCAAAACCGAAATTCAAAGTAGAAAAAAGATGTCAAAATGTCTTCAGAAATCCTGCAATGAATATGCAATATAATTCCTTATGCCCATGGCCCAATTAAGATATTCACAATCCAAATCCTATGTCGCGAAAGAGATTTCGAAGCGTGAAAGCTCAATTTCCCAAGGACAGAGGCGGAAAAGTCATATTCTCTCACGAACCTAATTCCAGTTCACAATCGGCAATTTGGCATACAATCCCTCTTTTAATTCTTCACACAAAATTAGCATTTTTCTTCTATGGTAGGTCTAAACTAAAATTCACAATTTTATGGTAACTTTTTAATACCGATATAAACTTACCTTTTAAATAAATATATAAACTTACCCTTATACCCTTACTTTATTATCCATATATTACACCACTTTCTCTCGCCTTGTAGATTGTTAGCGTACCAATTATTATTTACGTATACATGCCTATGCATGCACACGTAGGGGTCATCATAAAGTAGCAAAGGTCTCCTAGCCTTATCATTATACTTTGGTATTATCCGTATGTAAATCATTTGTATTATCTATTATGATGTATATTAGATTAGACTTATTCGAGCTTATCTCAAATTAACCGAACTCCTATATTAGCGTACCAATTATTATTTACGTAAATAATAATTGGTACGCTAACATAGATTATCCACTTTTTGGGGCATAATGGAAAAGTAAAAAAAAATTCACTTTCTTAAAAATCGTGAAGTCAAACTATGAAGTTGTTTTACGACCGGAGGGAGTATATACTATCTTCTTGAAAAGTTGCAATAATTTGACTATCACGTTTATTAACGCACAACTTTGACTGTAATTTTATTTGAATATGTATTAGTAAACATTAAATGAAGTTAATATTTTGGAAACTTACATTAATAAAAATTTAATATCATTTTATACATAAAAATTTGATTATATATATTATTAAAAAATCGTATCAAAGTAAGATGTGTGAATAGTGCAAAATATCAATATTGCAGCTTTTAAAAAAACGAAGAAGTAGTTAGCACGATACTTGAGTAGGTACCTAACGGTGTATACGGAAAAGTTCATGATACTATAGGTATATAGGATACTCCTCTACGTTTCCGGACAGTATCATACTTAGAGCATCTTCAATGCTCTTCTTTTGACATTGTAAAAATTTGCCACATCATTAATTTCAAATGTGTCATGAATTTTTCCTCTCCAATGTATTCTTTTATGAGCTCTTTGAATGTGACATGGAAGCAACACTTTGGATGTCGTTGTTGAAAATCAGAAAGTGCTTTTAACGGTGTGAAGCCTGTAAAGACACCCACTCTCGCACAATTCCGTGGAAAAGGTAACGCACATTTTGAAAAAGTAAATTTCTGTAGTTAAAAAAAAAATTGAACCCAAATTCACCACTTTCTGATTTTTGATGAGCGGTTTTGGAAATACGCCATCGGCAAATTGAATTGATGCTAAATTGCTCATGTAGCTGGTATGTGTAAAATCAATGAATTAGATTTAGAAAATGAATTATGCAACTGCTAAATTAACTATAAACGTAGCATGATTTATATAGATTTATAGCTTTTGCGGCAACTGGCATTTGGTATTGGTATGTTTTAATTTAGAATACTAAATGACAGGTAAATAGTATTTACGGAGTAATATGTTAACACTTGGCATTATGCATTGGAGACCTCCTATTTATTTATTTCAATGTGTACCTTATGTGGATAAACATTGTCTTATTTAAGTGACATTTGGCAAAATGTACCCTCTTTTAAAAGAACATGATTGGAGATGCTCTTATGGTTTATTAAAAGTTTCCAATTTTTATGTAAGAGAAAATTACCCCAATAGGAGTAAAACAATGCATTTGTGCAAAAATAAGAGTCCAAGTTTCGTATGTCACGTATAAGAGTAAGGACTTAAATTGACCAAAATAACCTTAATGAAGCTTCACGCGTGCAAGCCCATTCCGTTGTTCAAGTTTAATATAAAACTCATTTAAGATCAATTCCAATAACAACAAGGATTCCTCACCAACAAAGTAGACTGCCCTAATCTCTGAAAATCACAAGCTCAAACAACAAAATTACGTAAGAAAAAGAGAAAAGGGAAAAGAATGGAAAGAAAGAGAGAGGGAGGAGAGGTAACTATGTCAGCGTGGCTGCTGCGTTCGTGCTGAAGGAGAAGGGCGGGGGGCGAGTGGTGACGATGGTGACAAGTAGCGAGCGGGAAGATGGTGACGAGTAGCGAGCGGGGAGAGAGGGGGGCGAGTGGTGATCGAGCGGAGGCGATGAGTAGAGCATGGTAAAAAGGCAGTTCGAACAAGTGAAGCGAAGCGAGATCATAGAAGCACAGAAACCCTACAACAAGGAAAAGCCCGACTTTGTAGATTCAATTAACCATGGTTCATCTCTACAGTATTTTGGCAAATATTTTTACTCTGGATCTGATTTCATATTACCTAGCCTATGTCTCACTCAACTAACTAACTTTATATTGGGTGTGAAATTAGAAAAGTAACAACTGTGAAATGAGATTTGTGCAAAGTAAAGAGAAATGAACAAAATCACAAATTCATATTTTAAAATAAAAATGACAAAGTTTTGTTGGATATAGAAAAAGAAAAGTTGGGAGAGTCAAGTGAAATGGAGATAGTAAATAATTTATTATTTAGCATTATTTATGAAAAAAACTCTGATTGACATAGTTATTGAGAAATTCAAATCTAGTTGTGATTGATATAGAAAAAGAAGAATATTACCGAATAATCAATCTATCACACAATACATTCTATAAATAGAAATGAGAATAGAATATTATGGTTGTGATGACTCGAATAACTTAAATATTTATTGGTTAATTTTGATGAAAAGAATATTATAGTTTTTATATGAATTTATTTTATGTTAGTAAATTATATTTAATATTTTTTTCCACAATTTAGTAGATGCATTCAATTCAACAGTTTTAGCAATAGTTTTAGAGCCGTTTGGTGCCCTATGTTTTCGGCATATCAGCCTGGTCATCCAACTTTTTCAGCAAAAACATGACTTTTGATAGGATTTTGCAAGTTGAAATGTGTGATAAACAAAATAAAAAAAATGAAAAAAAATAAAAAAATTAAAAATAGATATAAATAAAATAAAAAATAAGAAGAAATAAGGTTGAAACTATTTTTCTGTTACTATAGAGAATCATTTTAGATATTTTTTTGCATTATGTTTTCTTCATTATATTAATAAACTATGATACATTTCAAATACATTTTAAATGTTTCTTTTTCATATTTCAGTCGCTTCAATCAGAACTTAATCAATTCCAGCATAATGAATTGATTCGGACAATTCTAATGTTACCAAACGGACAATTCTAATACTAAGGGTGTTTTCACTAGGATTGGATTCAACTTAAACAAGACGTAATTTGACCAAACCTAAATATAAGAGATTGAGCTCTTGTTCTTTCACTAGGGGTGTTTTCACTAGGATTGAATTCAACTTAGACAAGACCTAATTTGACCAGACCTAAATATAAGAGATTGGTGGCCGAACCAAATCAAATTAGACTACATTTGAGCAATGTTAGAATAAACATATATCAAATTTTATTTATCAGACCAAACATAAATCTTTATCAAATCAAACTTAAATAGATCATAAAAGATCATAATTGCTATAGAAAAATAGTTGATACAACAAAACTGTAAAAACCATTGTAATCGAAAAAAAGAGAACAAAAATCAAAATCGGTGAAATCATATGTGATTTAGACTAATATGGCAGATATATGGCACTAATATGGAAACCTTAAACACAAGTTTTTCTAAGAAACTTCGAAATATTTTGTTACTTCCTCCGTCCCATTCAAAGGTTCCAAACCACTATTCGCATGATCAACTTAAATCATTCTTGATCGTTTGCTTTATACATCAATTGTTTTGATCAAATTTACATTTTTATCAGGTTTTGTAGCACTTTTAATGTAGTTTCTAAATGTATAAATTTTATTTACTAAAAATAATGAGAGTGTGAACATGGATCAAATTGTTTTATCGCCACTCAAACATCGTAAACCGAATCGAGAATCTCTCTATGAGACCGAGAGTATTAATTTATCATAACAACAACATTCAACCCTTAATCATAAAAGAATATGTAATCAGTGAAGAAGAATCAAGTAATCAACACATGAAAGCTGAACTAATAAAAAGGATACCAAGAGATCAATGGACACACTACAATCAGTTATGATACATTAATAACAAAATGACTTATTAAATAAAAAGCTTGTAGATTATTTTCATCCACACTTTGAAAAACTCAAAAAGAGAGAATTCCCTAAATAGGAATAAAAGCTTTTTGAAATTCTAAAATAAGAGTATCATGTTTTTTATTCCCTAAATAGGAGTAAATTTCTGCCAAGTTTGGACATTACAAGGCTTTAAACATGGCATTTTTTCCCAAACTTGGTAGATTACTCCTATTTAGGGAATAAAAAACGTGATACTCCTTTTTTGGAATTTCAAAACTTTTTTACTCCTATTTAAGACAATTTCTCTTTTAAAGAACCTCTTTAGTAGTGAAAAGGTTTGATCTAATGACTTCTTCTTCCCTTTCCCTTATGCATCCTCTCTGCTCTGTCTTTTTTCTTCCCTTTCCTTATAGGTTGCCTGTGACCAAGAATGCTATCAATGCTCCACTCCTCATAATCGGGTTTAGTACAGGGGAAAAGATCTTTAACCACGTCTACATGACCATATTGAGCCGCCACCCATATTGGTTTCCTTGGTATCCAAACATCCTCGTCCGAAAACCTTGCAACCCTTTTAATGTTGGGATCTGCTCCGTTTTGCAGCAACCGTTTCACAATTTCTGAGTTACCGTAAACAGCAGCAAGGTGCAAAGGGAGAGGGGCATTTTTCATAGTCCAAATGTAGGAGATTTCATGCTCCTCACCATTCAGAGTTGCATTTGCCTCCACCAACAGCTTCACACATGGTAGAGAACGTGCTTGAATAGCGAATCTGAGAGGAGTAAAAGTGTCCGAATAAGGATGCCCGTTTGGATTGGCGCCGTGTTCAAGCAGAAGTCTGGAAGCATCATGGTGGCCAGACATTGCAGCGTGCACAAGTGCACTACAGAAATCACTGTTAGAAAAATCAACTTTTGCACCCTTAGAAAGTAAGGATTTCATGAGCTCAATATCTCCATTTTCGACAGCATAAAGCAGGGGAAATCTTCCCTTGTTACATTCTAAAGCAGCACCATAATCCACCAGGAGTTTGGCCGTAGATGTATGTTTATGCTCAGCGGCATAGATCAGAGGAGTCTTGTTGAAGTCGTCTTTGTCGTCGATATCGAGCTTCAGATCCTCCACGAAGTACTTGCATGCGTCGCTAAACCCTTCTGCGGCTGCATGATGGAGAGGCCCTCTCTTGTGATAATCCCTCACGTCGGCCCAATCCTTCAACAGAAATCGAATTCCAGCCGCAGCTGCCGCTTTGAAATGGTGACCAAATTCTCTCACGGCACAAGCGCCGGGCATGTTCCCAATATAAGCTACGAAGTATAATGTTTGGTTGTATAATCTCACAGCACAATCACAATTGGATGCATAAAAACAGGAATACACTCAAACCCAGTCAAACGTCAAATTAACCCTAGGGCCTCTCAACACAATTTATAGGCCCGGGACACCGGACAAAGACAAAAAATAGACCTCAATTATATACTTCCTCCGTAAGTTAAAAACCTTCTCATTTCGAAAATAGCTAGATTAAGAATAGTGAAAAAGGATATGAATTATTGAGAGCATGATGGGAAGAAAGTGGAATAATGTGATGGAATGTAGGCTAAATCCAAAAAACATAGTTGTAATAGTGCATTACTTTCAGAATTATTGAGAGTATGGTGGTAAGACTTAAAAATTGGAAGATTTTTTTGTTACGGACGAAAAAGGAAAGCGGAAAGATTTTTATATTACGGAGGGAGTATGCTATAAGAATATATTACAAGAGTTTCATTGTCAAAAATAAAATTCGTTACATAAGTAAATGTTTGTCCATAGAACTACTCAGTATCATAAGACATACAAAACAATTTTTAGGCATCCTTAGAAGCAAAATTGTCGGTAATACTATCAACTTTTAGTTCTCGACTTCTGTGAGGAAGGTATAAAGTCATCCGATCGTATTTCATGTGTAGCTCTGCCGTTGTGCCTAAGTCTATGGATATGAGAGTTGAGGGATATCTTTTGTGGAGTCCTAAGAGTATAGTAAATGATCTGGTGAGGCGCACTACAAGATGCCACATACACAAGTCCATTTAAGGAGCTTCTGAGTCAATTTGTTGATAAAATTTTGTGAACATTTTTTTCATAAAGATTAAAGTATTTACGCAAAACTTCAGTTTCGAACTCAATTGGGAAGTTAGTTAAACAAATTGTTGAAAACACTGCGCTTTTTAAACATATATAAAGCACATTGGTTTTCAATAATTATTTAACAGACTTACCGATTAAATTTTAAGCTGAAATTTTGTGAACGTAATCTACATTTAATGAAAAACGTGCTCACAAATTTTCATCATAAAACTTCATCTGCAAGCACCTCAAATAGGCTTGACCGTACACATCCCACCGTACACATCCCCCGATCAAGCGCGCATGAGGTGAAAGAGACACTAAATAATGTATGGGCCCCTCTTCCTGTTGGGCCTTGAGCAACCCCCAAACCTGCCCCTATATCCGACCGGCCTTGATTAAACCCTATTGTATAAACATACTCTGTATGAATTTGCCAATATTTACATGTTAAAAAATCCTAGAGTAGCCAAGTACCTTGTGGTCTGATGGCATCACTGCTGATCTCCCAAAGAGGAGGCCACAGGTTTGAGTCTCATCCTAATCAAGGATGTTGGCATTTACATGAGCAGATACTAGGAAAAGGGTCAGATAGACCCTTGTACTCACATAAAAATGTCAAATAACCCTTTATATAGGATCCTTTGTCCGGCCGTCGCCATTTCGGGCGGTTCCCAGTGAATTTTTTGATGAATTTTTTTTAGCGTCTTATTCATTAAGTCTAGTTTACTCACACCAAATTTCAGCTAAAACTTCAATCGGGAAGACATCAGTGACCGCCGCCGCCTCGGCGAGTGACCACCAAACTCTCCCATCAATACACCCACCTTCCCCGTCCCAACCTACCCCCTACCTGGGCCCCCTCCCCATCCTTCCCAATTCCCTCTTTGTCACAGTCCCCAGGTACCGAACCGGTGTTACCCTCATGGCAGCCATAATTGTTGCCCTCCTTGCTCGATTCGTAGCCCAATCCCGACCAATCACTACCCTCACCCTCCGACAATTGCTACTATCCCCTTCCCAAACCCTGCCCCCTTCCCTTGGCACTGTCGTTGCCGCCCTCTTCCCCTGGTTCTATCGTTGCCCGCCCCCCCTCCCCAAAACCCCCAATTCCCTTGACGTCCCCTAATAGACCAATAAGGCATCAGTGATTGTTGAAATCAACTGATCGACCACCGCATCAACAATCAAAGAGGACGAGTGATGTAGGCGAGATGGTGCATATATATCTTCGACGACTACGGGGTTTGCGGGAAAGAAAGGGGAAGAATTAGATGGCGTGGAGATTGCACGCATTCAGAGCGTCTCCAATGCTAAAACGTTAACGGTGCATATGTGGCATGAGAGATAGCCAATCAAAAAACAATAAATAAAATATTTCTCTCCTTATTTGAAGGATATTATACTCCCTCCGTCCCATAAAATTGTTCCCACATTGACTTGGATCGAAGTTTAAGAAAGTGGGAATAAAGTGGAAATGTATGGTTGTGGTTGTGTAAGAAAAAGGTAAATGAATGTGAGCCACACAAAACTTTTCAAAAGGGGAAATGGGAACTATTTTTTGGGACGGCCCAAAAAGGAAACCGGGAACTATTTTGCTGGATGGAGGGAGTATCATTTTGTTAAGTTTTTCTTCACAATGTTAAACACAATGCTAGATGTAGACATTGTGCTTGACATTGCAAAGAAAAACTTACCATAAACACATAAGGCCGTGGAAAGACGGAGAGAGAAATGTCATAAAATCAATATTTTGTGTCTATCTCTCTCATACCACATGTGCACCATGCACATTGTAGCATTGGAGATGCTCTCAGAGCATCTCCAATGCTATAATGTCCATGTTGCATATGTGGCATGAGTGATGGCCACATAAATATTAGCAAATAAATTATTTCTCTCCTTATTTGAATGATGTTGAGTTTAATCCAACACGATATAGTAAATATATGTATAAATGTGTATGAACAACTCAGTTTTTACGTGGAAACCCGAAAGGGAGAAAACCACGGGACTTTTTAGGCTAATGTCCAAGCCCTCTCAATTCTCATTAGACTCTCCTCACCATTACATTATACAAGCTTGAAGCTCCCATTAATGGAGTATTATCTAATCTAGAGAAGAAGAAGCATGAAGAAGGAGGAAAAAGGGATCCCTCATATGGAGGGAAACCCCCATATTTATAAGGAAAGGGGATGGGAAGTACTCTCCACCCTAATGGGCCAAGTGGGCCGAAACAGGCCCAAAGGCTAAGGTGGGCCGGATGGGCCGAAATGGTCCTAACTGTTCAGGCTCCGTACTGGATAATATCTTGGGCTCTTGAACAGTAATAGGCCGGGATAATATATCCCAACACAAGTCCCCCAGTTTCTTGAGTAGTGAGCGTGCGAATCTGCTCGAGAAAATATACTCTTGCCTGCGCTTTACCTCGGTCTAGCTGGAACCTGTGTCTTCGAATAATCATAATATATGAGTGGATGTCCACACTCCCGAACGTAATCTGCCGGTGAGGCACCCCCGTTCCCGATGGGGTCGGGCGAAAGGTGCTCCTCCACGGGCACGCTCCCCCTGAATGCATCAGGCGAGAGTAAGGGACTCTGACTCGAGCTTTCCAACGGAGAAGCTTAGAGGTCCATGCATCTATAAACCGACATCGCGGTACTGTCAAAACATGATGCACGCGTGTATGTATGAATGTATGAGGTATGATGCATGAATGCATGAATGCATGTAATGTATGAGTGCAATGTATGAGAGAAGGAATGTGAGATGTGATAGAAAGCGGTGGCTCTCATCGATAAAACGGGCATGTCAGCACCGAGGGGCAGACGTGCTGCATAAGAGACGTTCGTCGCCATCCTGAAAGGGATGGGCGACCCTAACGTGAGCCAGACACGATGGCGCTGGGGCGCTGATCGTGCTGCATAAGAGACGTTCGTCGCCATCCTGAAAGGGATGGGCGACCCTAACGTGAGCCAGACACGATGGCGCTGGGGCGCTGATCGTGCTGCATAAGAGACGTTCGTCGCCATCCTGAAAGGGATGGGCGACCCTAACGTGAGCCAGACACGATGGCGCTGGGGCGCTGATCGTGCTGCATAAGAGACGTTCGTCGCCATCCTGAAAGGGATGGGCGACCCTAACGTGAGCCAGACACGATGGCGCTGGGGCGCTGATCGTGCTGCATAAGAGACGTTCGTCGCCATCCTGAAAGGGATGGGCGACCCTAACGTGAGCCAGACACGATGGCGCTGGGGCGCTGATCGTGCTGCATAAGAGACGTTCGTCGCCATCCTGGAAGGGATGGGCGACCCTAACGTGAGCTGGGTACGATGGCGCTGAGGGGCCGATCGTACCGCATAAGACGGTCGTCGCCATCCTGGAGGGAATGGGCGAGCCGAACCGTGAGGCCAGGTACGATGGCGCTGAGGGGCCGATCGCACTGCATAAGACGTTCGTCGCCATCCTGGAGGGAATGGGGCGATCCGAACGTGAAAGAGACACGATGGCGCTGAGAAGCCGATCGTGCTGCATAGGACGGTCGTCGCCATCCTGAAGGGAATGGGCGAGCCGAACCGTGAAGCCAAGTACGATGGCGTCGAGGGGCCGATCGCACTGCATAAGACGTTCGTCGCCATCCTGGAGGGAATGGGGCGATCCGAACGTGAAAGAGACACGATGGCGCTGAAAAGCCGATCGTGCTGCATAAGACGGTCGTCGCCATCCTGGAGGGAATGGGCGAGCCGAACCGTGAAGCCAAGTACGATGGCGTCGAGGGGCCGATCGTACTGCATAAGACGTTCGTCGCCATCCTGGAGGGAATGGGGCGATCCGAACGTGAAAGAGACACGATGGCGCTGAGAAGCCGATCGTGCTGCATATGACGGTCGTCGCCATCCTGAAGGGAATGGGCGAGCCGAACCGTGAAGCCAAGTACGATGGCGTCGAGGGGCCGATCGTACTGCATAAGACGTTCGTCGCCATCCTGGAGGGAATGGGGCGATCCGAACGTGAAAGAGACACGATGGCGCTGAGAAGCCGATCGTGCTGCATAAGACGGTCGTCGCCATCCTGGAGGGAATGGGCGAGCCGAACCGTGAAGCCAAGTACGATGGCGTCGAGGGGCCGATCGCACTGCATAAGACGTTCGTCGCCATCCTGGAGGGAATGGGGCGATCCGAACGTGAAAGAGACACGATGGCGCTGAGAAGCCGATCGTGCTGCATAGGACGGTCGTCGCCATCCTGAAGGGAATGGGCGAGCCGAACTGTGAAGCCAGGTACGATGGCGCCGAGGGGCCGATCGTACTGCATATGACGGTCGTCGCCATCCTGGAGGGAATGGGCGAGCCGAACCGTGAGTCTGGACACGATGGCGCTGAGGGGCCGATCGTGATACAGAAAAATGGTGATGATCATCTCATGGCCCTCGGCCTGTCGGTGAGTGGTAATCGTCTCACGGCCCTCGGCCGTGCTGGTGATGTGTCAAGTCTCTCTCCTGATTGGCTGTGAGAAGCCGATCGTCTGCCAGGACTCCATCCGGGAAGGAATGGTGAGCCTGAAATAAATCTGGGCGATGTCCCTTCTACCCGATCTGGGGAGCTAATCGTCGTTTGAGGCAAAAGAAAACCTGATGTTAGCCGATCGTCGTCGGCCACTTCATTCTTCGTACTTAAGTCTTGTAATTATTCTTTACATATGTTTTTCAGTTTGTACTTCACAGCCAATAGTGCCAAGGGATAAAATCATTCTTTGCTCCGTGCTCTTCTGGCATCTTTTTTTTTTTTTTTTTTTTTTGGAGTCTTTTAGTCTTCGTTCGTCATTGGTCCTTGGTCCTACCGGCGTTCTTACATCGAAGAGACGTTCGGTATCCGCGGACATCGCAATGAGGAACAGGTATATCTACATCGAGATTCCCCCTTTTTCGTTCGTCCCTGGTCCTTTTAGTCTTACCGGCGTCTCTTGCATCGAAGAAGACGTTCGGTACCCAAGGAACTCGCAGGGACGAACTGGTTTACCCTCACGGGTTCCCGTCTTTGTTATCCCACATCCATCGATCCATGGTCATTGTGGGATGAACAGGTTTATCTTGGCAAGGCTCCCTTGGTTCGTCTAGCCCCCTCCGCGTCTCTACTAACCTCTACATCGAGAGGCGTTCGTCTTCGGCGGTGGGAGAAGATCTGGCACACCCGGGCAAGATTCCCTTCCACATAGGAGCTACCCTCCTCTTCTCCCCATCTTTTTTTTTTTCTTTTTTTTTTTTTTTTTTTTCTTTTTTTTGTTTGAGGGAGGCAATCTATACTCTTCGTTCGTCATTGGTCCTTGGTCCTACCGGCGTTCCTACTTCGAGGAGACGTTCGGTATCCGCGGACATCTCAATGAGGAACAGGTTTATCTGCATCGAGATTCCCTGGCGCTTCGTTCATCCCTGGTTCTTGGTCCTACCGGCGTCCTTACTTCGAGGAGACGTTCGGTATCCGCAGACATCGCAAGGAGGAACAGGTTTATCTGCATCGAGATTCCCTGGCGCTTCGTTCGTCCCTGGTCCTTGGTCCTACCGGCGTCCTTACTTCGAGGAGACGTTCGGTATCCGCAGACATCGCAAGGAGGAACAGGTTTATCTGCATCGAGATTCCCTGGTGCTTCGTTCGTCCGTCCCTGGTCCGTGGTCCTACCGATCTTCCTACATCGAAGAAGACATTCGGTATCCAAGAAACTCGCAGGGATCACGGGATGTCACACATAATGGTGGTGGCATACCAAAACGAATAAAATGACGAGGCGACGGAATAGCTGGTCGTCATGCGAAGGCGATGGTCACCCTCCTGGAGGGGAGGGGTGAGCCCGATCGCTGACTCAAGAAGGTCGGCATTGAGAGCCGATATACAATGATCATAATATCGCTGAGCAGTCGGTCCTGATAACGGAGATGGCAATAGTGTCCAGTCAGGCCGATATATCCGAGCAACGGCTCTCATCCAACGCAGCGCGGGGATGAAACCGGTCTTCAAAAGATAAATATGTCGTGCCGAGAGGCCGAACATAACATGACAGTGTCGGCAGTGAGAGGCCGACCCGAAAGAATCAAACGACGGTCCTCGTCCCCGGGGTGGCGGGGACGAGGCCGGTCTTCAAGAGATAAGCACGCCGAGCCGAGAAGCCGGTCGTGGTATAATGGTGTCGGCAATGAGCGGCCGATCTGAGAAAATCAAGCAACGGCCCTCGTCCGCGAGGGCGGGGACGAGGCCGGTCTTCAAAAGATAAGCACGCCGAGCCGAGAGGCCGGTCGTGATATGACGATATCGGCAATGAGCGGCCGATCTGAGAAAATCAAGCAACGGCCCTCGTCCGCGAGGGCGGGGACGAGGCCGGTCTTCAAAAGATAAGCACGCCGAGCCGAGAGGCCGGTCGTGATATGACGATATCGGCAATGAGAGGCCGATCTGAGAAAACAAGCAACGGTCCTCATCCGCGCAGTGCGGGGACGAGGCCGGTCTTCAAATATGAACACGCCGAGCCGAGGGGCCGGTCGTGGTATGATAATGTCGGCAATGAGATGCCGATCAAGATATGGTCAAGCAACGGTCCTCGTCCGCGAGGTGGCGGGGACGAGGCCGGTCTTCGATTATGATAATCGCGCCGGTCCGAGAGGCCGGTCGTGATATAATGATGTCGGCGATGAGAGGCCGACCTGAAAGAAATCCAGCAACGGTCTTCGCCCGCGCAGCGCGGGGACGAGGCCGGTCTTCTAAAGATAAGCACGCCGATCCGAGAGGCCGGTCGTGATATAGTGATGTCGGCAATGACAGGCCGACCTGAAATCCAGCAACGGTCCTCACCCGCGCAACGCGGGGACGAGGCTGGTCTCCAAAAGGTGAGCACGTCGAGCCGAGGGGGCCGGTCGTGATATGATGATGTCGGCAAAGAGAGGCCGACCTGAAATCAAGCAACGGTCCTCATCCACGCATCGCGGGGATGAGCCCGGTCTTCAAATAAGATAATCATGCCGTGCCGAGAGGCCGGTCATGATATAATAATGTCGTCAGACGGCCCCCGGCCCTGACGATCTCTTCTAGGCCCTCGGCCTCTGAATGACGGGTGATCGTCTCTCGGTTCTCTGTCATGGCATTCGCCTCTAGACCCTCGGCCTCTAGGTGTTCTTCCTAGGCCATCGGTCTCTGGGGTGGAGACGCTCGTCCCACGGTTCTCAACCGTGGTGGTCTCCTCTAGGCCCTCGACCTCTGGGTGGAGATGCTCGTCCATCGGCTCTCAGCCGTGATGGTCTCCACTATAGCTGGCCCTGAACGTCTTCAAGATTCGGGCCGAGTGTCTTTTAATCATTTCGCTCGAGCGCGTCGAGTGGCTTCAGCTGCGCAATAAGCATGATAACGGGCCGCACGGCCCGACAATAAATATGCACACATAACCGTTTGCATGGCGGAGTCTTTAACACCCACGATTACCGGCCTATGGGTCATCGTGACCCTCGGCCCGGCTCATCGTGCGGGGTTAATGGACGTAGCAGCTCGCGGCGGGGCCAATCAGCAGCCCGCCGAACGTCACATAGAGATATTCATCGGTCTGTGAGTTTTCAAACTCAGACCCAAGTTGGTCGCACTGCCCTCGGAAAAACGAGGTTGAGTGCTTTGGTGCCCTCGGGCCCCATAGGCCACGTTCGGCAATAGTCACTTCGCGCCTGATGGCGTAGATGGTACCAGGGTACGATCGTCGCTCGAGCACTCGGTGCCGTGCGGACTAATGCGTAACCCCCCAAACTAAAACGCGTCATCGGGGCACTACCCTCTGGAGACGCTCAGATCGCAAATCAAGCTGATCGAGAGTGGGCCAACAGGCCCATAAGAAATTAAATATTCAACAAAATGTTGGCTGAACCAACCATCACCAGAGCTTCGCTCCACATTATTTAATTCGGGACATTTTATCCCTAATAAATAATAGTGATGTAACAGGTAATAGCAATGATATTATCCTATCAAAGGCCATTCAGATATGCTCCGCTCGCTAATTAAAGTCGATCAGGAGTGGGCCGACGGGCCCACAACAACCAGTCATTTAATTTAAATGACGGTGAAATCTAATTATCACGAGAGCGTCGCTCGGCATTATTTAATTTTGGGAGATTATAATCCCTAATAAATAATGGTGATAACAGATTAATAGCAATGTCAATCGGGCTTCAATCAAAAGTGAAGGAGTTAAGCACTTAGCTTTGGAAAAGGAGGCTCGGCCAGCAATACACACGTTGGATTTATTTTGATTCCCTTTGGCTTTGACTTTGGCCAAAATTCTCCCAGAGATTGGGCCCTCTATCCCTTGGCTCTAACCTTGGAGTCGTGGTCTACTTTCAGCCGAGTGAGGAGCATCTCGTGGAGAGACAGACGCAACATCCCACCAAGGTCCATCAGTGCGGGTCGGCTGCTGACTGGTGGCGACGGAAGCTATAGCAGAGAGAGTGCGGCTGGAAAAGCTAGCCTACGGTGACAGATTGGCCGAGCTCCGAAGCATACCTTCTCTGAGCTCCAAGCAAACATCCATGGCAGAGCTCGAGGAGCCCTCAGCTTACAAACCTCGTCGCATTAACAGAGGTCAGGGGCCGAAGGACAGCGATGAAAGATGGTGCTGCGTCCCAGTCGGAGGACCCAGCTACGTCCGATGAACAGTGCTGCTGCAACGGAGCCCTCCTAGGACCGATATTACGAGATCTGGGATGCCGCAGCGGTCTCCAACTGGTGGAGCTGAACCCACCGGAGGGCCTACCATGGCGGGATAGGTGAAGGCGGCTCAGGCGACCCCGAAACAGATCTGGGGAATTTCGGTCATAATTTTCCCAGATTCTTCCTTCCTTTCCCTGCTCACGTCAGACCTTCTTCCTAGATTTTTTTTTTTTTTTCACTAGAATTGAGTTCATCCGTATGAATTTTTTGTAGAAACTCAAGAACAGTAAAACACATGAATCTTTTTGGACAGATTCCCACAGACGGCGCCAGTGTTGAGTTTAATCCAACACGATATAGTAAATATATGTATAAATGTGTATGAACAACTCAGTTTTTACGTGGAAACCCGAAAGGGAGAAAACCACGGGACTTTTTAGGCTAATGTCCAAGCCCTCTCAATTCTCATTAGACTCTCCTCACCATTACATTATACAAGCTTGAAGCTCCCATTAATGGAGTATTATCTAATCTAGAGAAGAAGAAGCATGAAGAAGGAGGAAAAAGGGATCCCTCATATGGAGGGAAACCCCCATATTTATAAGGAAAGGGGATGGGAAGTACTCTCCACCCTAATGGGCCAAGTGGGCCGAAACAGGCCCAAAGGCTAAGGTGGGCCGGATGGGCCGAAATGGTCCTAACTGTTCAGGCTCCGTACTGGATAATATCTTGGGCTCTTGAACAGTAATAGGCCGGGATAATATATCCCAACAAATGATTTTATACAATTTTGGTAAGTTTTTTCCTGCAATGTCAACAACAATGTCAACATCTAGACGGTCTCCTTGACAGTGTGGAGAAAAACTTATCAAAACTGTATAAATCATTCAAATAAGGAGAGAAAGAATTTATTTACTAATATTTATGTGGCTATTTATCATGTCACGTGTGCACCGTGCACATTTTACCATTAGAGATGCTCTCAGTGTTGGTGACGGTGTGGATTTGCTTACCAAATGAAGTTTTAGCATACCTAGTTATTGAATCGATGAAATGGTTAGGGAATTTCATTTAAAAATATTGAGTCATTTTTATGGAATATATTTAATGGGTCATATTTTGGGAATTCAAAAGACTAGTGATAATATTGGGGTCATTATTTCAAAAAAATTGTGTAAATTTTTTCCCAAAAATATTTTTTGTACCGGTCCAGTTCGGCCCAGTGCCCTGACTACGCCCCTGATGACCGGACCTAAATATAAGAGATTGGTTGAAACAAATCAAATTAGATTAGATTTGAACAATAGTAAAATAAACATATACTCTAACCCATTGCCCTGACACCGTCCCTCTATCCCATTTTCGTTGTCCCATTTTCATTGTCATAAAATAGTAAAATGAATATCTTGTTTACTTTTTTGGAAAGAAATATATTATCCTTATCAGTTTACTTTATTAGTAGTAATCATGTCAATTTAAAGAAAAACAACTAATATGCGATGGAGGTAGTATTTTATTTTTTCGGAACAAACTTAGACCGTTACCAACTCAAACTTAAATAGATCATATAAGATGATAGGGCTAAAAAAAGTTGATAAAACAAAACTATAAAAACCATGGTAATCCCAAAAATAAAAGACAAAAAATCATGAATTTGTGAAACCATATGTGATTTAATACATTTTTTTAATTCCGTGATTTAATACATGATTCATTTTGTAATCTTACAAAACAAGAGAAATTCGAAATTAGGAGTACTAAAATTTTCTTCACTATATATGTAATTTATTACGATCATATAATTATATAACCACATTTATGTATTACCAGAGACGAATATGGCACTAATTATTTCATTTCAAAGCTTTTGAAAAAAAGTTAATGAAATAAATCTTAATTACAAAAATATGACTAATAGTTACGAGTATAATGTCATAATTACTTAACTGTAAATCTTAAAAAAAAAATCTTCAAAAATATTAGAACATTATTTATTGTGTTCAATTTAATAGTAATTATCTTTGATTAATTAGTCTTAGTATTAGCATACTTTTAATTGAGAGAGAAACATGTTGTTTAGGTGATTAAGTCCAGACGCTTATCTGTCCTAATTGTACTAGGAATCTAGGATGTTCGAATTTTCTCCTATAAATAAAGGCATAGGGGTTCAAATAGCCTAAGCCTCCACAAGATTAATTCCGCACTTATCATTCTCATAGAGCACCTCTAATTTTTCTCTCTCAACAATTCATACGTATATCATGTATTATTGTCACATCATTATGAATATATAATATTAATTGTTGATGAATTATTCCTCTTCTACTCAATTTCTCCATATTATTATTTAGAGTTTATTCGACTGTTGATCTGGGATTACATACAATTGGCATCAAAGCCTCAGCATAATTCTGTTCAACGTTATTCTGAGAATTTTGAAGGAATTAATTTGATCAAAATCACAAGTTTTGGTTGAATTAGTTCTAGATTTTTTCTTGGTATTTTACGTAGTTTGTGTTGCAGACTTGCAGCTGCTCTAAAGGAAGAAAAGAAGATCACGAAAGGAACCCTATTTGTACGAGATTAAGTTTTTCGCGTACTCGAAATCTTATATCTTCAACAAAAGAATTTGAGCTACTCCCGAGATCAGCAACCGAGATCTTCTCCAGTTTGCCAGCCCGAAATCCTTTTCTCCGAATTCTTCAATTTTGAACCAAGGCCCGAGATCCTCAATTTCGAAGCAGGCCTGAATTTCTACTTTTTGAAATCAGGCCCGAAATCCTCTATTCGTAACTGAGCCGAAATCAACCAGCCCGAATATAACAAGCTCGATTTCGATCCACTTCTGAAATCTTGAAATTCAGTACCCGAGATCATAGTAGGTTAGGGGATGGAGAAATCTCACTTAAAGAAATTCAGTCGTGCTGGCCTTAAAGACATAAAGCTAGTAGGGAACTTTCAGCAAAATTTGGAGGTTGAAAGTTTACATATAGATGACTTAGGATGTTTTTACTTGGACTGTAATTTGCTGGTCTGGTCTGGTCTGGTCTGATCTGGTCTGATCTGGTCTGGTCTGGTCTGGTCTGGTCTGAACTGGTCTGGTAAGGTCTGGTTTCTTTGTATTTTTATAACTATCCAAGTCTGGTCTGGTCTGGTCTGGTCTGAACTGGTCTGGTCTGGTCTGGTCTGGACTGGTCTGGGGCAAATTACAGTCCAAGTAAAAACATCCTTACTTGAAAATAGTCATATGCACTATGTATAACAAAATACTTCAAATAGACTACAAATCTAACGACGTTCTATAATGTAAACAATGTTGGCTTTTGAAGAACCCCGGAGAAAGCGCAAAAGTTTCCGCTTTTTTCTGTTCTCCGTCTGGGAGGAAAATACTGTACTTTGGAATACGAAAAGCTTCTTAAGCATGGGAAAGCATGTAAGTAGCCACTTGAAGAGTAGCATTTCTCCCCTTGACCCACTAAACATGCAGAAAAGATGCAATTCATGAACTGTTTTGCATGTTTCGGCCACATTAAACTTTGGATGCTCCAACAAGAAGTCTATAGTAGTCGCCTCTACATCCCACTAAAAAGAATTTGAAAAAAAGAAGAATGTGAGAACATAACTCATTCAGTCAAATATGTATTTACGCCAAAAATGTACATCAAGAAAGGGTGGAAATAAATGAAAAGTTTAATTTAATAGAACAATGATTCTTCATGATGCTGAAGATTACCGGTAGAAGTATATCAAGTCTGTATAACTTTGGGCACATCCGCAACAAATCAATGAACGCAGAAATTTCATCATCTTTGACATCAACCCCTAGCTTGAGGTGGTTCACATTGAGTGTAGTTCCTTGCTTTCCCAATCTAGTTAACTCTTTAATAAAATCCTTGAAATAATAAAATGATGGAGTTATATAATATTAAAAAGGAGAATTTAAACATATCAACAATAGAGAGAGAAAGAAGATTAGTCGAAAATACCTTTGTCGAATAATCATCGAGATGAAGAGAATGGATTGTTTTCATGTCCAAGTTAACAGGAAGAATACCTTGTCTAAGAGTAAAGCAAATTGTTAAACAGCTAAGCTTTGGGGCAGTGATGTTAAAACCAGAAATATTTCGACACACAAGAGACTTGAGCATAGGAAGGTCAGCAGGACATTGAACAAGATTTTTTGAATCACACTCAACATCTTCAAGATAAAGAGAAGTGACATTAGGAAATATGCATGAGGCCTTTATTGGTTCAATAAACACTCCACAAAGACTCAACTTTTTCAGTGTTGAGCAAGAATATATGAAATCAGGCAATATGTACGCAGATGACTCAAAAGATAGGTCCATTTCTTCAACACCATTTCTTGTGAGAAAAAGTAACAATTCATCAAATTCAGCCCATCGAGACTTATCTTCGTCGTCTTTCAAATAAAACATGGTAAAATCAAAGACAAATTTTCGAATAGGTCCATTATGTTTCATAAGAATTTTGTTGATGATAAACATGGCCGAGGCCATAACGTAGTTGTACTGGATGTAATTGAAAAACTTCCTATCAAATCTAAGTTGGGAAAGACTTAACCAGACATCTCTCCAAACTGTAGACAAAGCAGAAGTTCTAGCAGCATCTCGAATTGGTAAGAACCCCAAAATATGGTCAATTACATCACCAGGAAGTTCACTGATTCTATCTTTAGCAGCCATACCGCAGGTAACCCTAACAATTACATGCGAATTGAAGAAAAAAGCAAAAGGAATCAAAGCATATTCCAGTAACCTGTAAACCAAAAAATTTGTCAAGCAAGCAGTTGAAATGCAAGTCAATATCAGATATTCAGATATACGAACATGTATTAATCTATTATCAAATCATATTGCGTCATCATTGAATTTCTAACATATAAATAGTAAGAAAACAAAAATTTCAGACCCACACGAATATACCTGCATTTAAAACCCTAAATCGCTATGAGTTTTTTCTCACAGTAACCGAAATGCAAGGTGAATGGATAATATCTCTAGAGCTGCAAAAGAAGTTTCCACTTCCACGTTATTCTCGATGTAATGGGAGGCTGTGGATTTTTTATTCAAAAATGCTTCTTGTACACACACTTGTACACACCATGTACACACTATAAAAGGATTTTAATTTTTTACCCCGATTCCACATCTTTACCCATTTTCTTCCCACTCCCCTCACATCCCTCTATTACGCCACACCCCTCTCCTTCTCCATCTCAACCCTTCTCCTCTCTTTCTTCTTTTTCATCCCTTCTCATTTCACTTCTTTACTCCCTTTCCAACTTCCAGAAATAAACTTTTAGGTGGTCACATGTCTTCAGTCCAAGCTCATCAACGGTGTTTTTGCAGCTGGAATCCGTGAAGAAGGCGTGGATGAGAGGTCGATTTGAGCCGGTCGTACAAGAAGCCCTCATCAACTAGTCCATAAATTGAGGTAATAACTTATTCGATTTTTCTTTTGCAAAAAATAAAAAACCTATTCGATTTTTCTATATGCACCTTAGGTTTTTGTTTTTCAATGGACTTTAGGGTTTTGTTTATTTAAAATTTCTGATTATTTGTGTATAATGTATGGTATAACACTGATTAGTTGAATATTTTGTATTATTGTAAGAGAATGTAGTGTTAACTATTGAAATTTTAATTCAATTACTCTATTTCAAATTTATGCTCATAACATGTTTGATGAAATCACTCAATGATTTTTTTTTTGCTTAAATTCAAGACTTTTACTCTCCTTTTCTTGACTCATTCTTTTTTGTTAATTGGTTCAAGATTCTAGTTTTCTTGTTTTCCAATTTGAATAATGATGTAGACATTTTTATTGACATATTAATATGTTTATTATGCTTTTACTAGTATATTAGTGCAATGTTAGCCTATAAACTTTATTGTACATGGATCAATCCATGTAAGTATGTTAAGGAGGGTGTCTTCAAAGTGGATTTTAATGGAGTTTTAAAGATTGTGGATTTGGTGGAATTTAATGGAGTGTTACGGATTCTATGAGAATTTTATTGGATTTCATTGGATTTCACTTTGATGGAATTATTTAGGTTTTAATGGATTTTAGCACTTGGAGAGTTGTATTTTTTGACATAGCAGGTTACCTGTGCGTTTCATCTCATCTATATCTGTGTTTCATCTTATGAAGCTAATGGAATTGAACAACCAGTAAGGGCATGGAAGAAGAACACGTGGGTTGCACTCGTAGGGGTGTCGGGCAGCTTTACGCCACTGGGGATCTGCAGCTCGGGGTTGCAAGGTTGCTCTCTGGGGATCTGCAGCACAACAACCGCCTACATGCACTCGAAGGGGAGCCGGACAGCTGCTTTGAAGATGTGACCCATTCCGGCAGCACAACTGGTAGGGGAGTCAGACAGTTCTCTTTTATGTTTGATTCTTGATTCTTTTGTGTCCGCTCTCCGGGCAACAATAACTCATCCCCTCACACCCTACGTTCAGTTATAACCATTAGCAAAAGTCCAGTTGAGTATCTGAACACCATGTAAAACGATATGACAACCAAGACTGCTCTGTATTTAATCATATTTGGTGGGTCTCCTTTGCAGCATCAATCAAAACATGCTACTGGACACTGTAGAGACACTCCTCTACACCTTCATCCTTTTAGCACACCCTTAATGGGGTCATAATAATGTTAAAGAAGACTAAAAAAAATGTAAGCTACTAAAATTGAGGTATGTTTAAAGTTCTAAAGGCAGTTTTAAGATCTTTTGAAAGTTTCTAATCCAGGTTGCAGGTTGCATTTTGTTTATAAACTTTAAAAGTTTTGATTTGTTCTTTTTTATTGGAGGTTGATTCTGGCGTTTGGCGGTGGCAGTGGTAAGGTGGCGACAGAATTCTGGCGACTAGCGAGGACGCCGGAGTTTTGACGAATGACGATCTAGCAATTTGCCATCTTGCGGGGCTACAATGAAAGTAGTTGCTTCTCAAACAAAACAACTGCTGAAAAGGTCTCAAATTGGTCCAACATTGTTTTAGCTTATAAGCCCGTTTGGAGAAATAAAGACCTTTGACTTGTTGCAAGTACAATTGTCATACTGTTCAAGTTTAGCATCTTCTAATTTACACAGCTGGTGTTATTTCAGAATCTTTTGTATAACAATTTGAGTAATTAATGAAAAGTTTGATCTTTTTTTGTATAACAATAGCCATTGTGATAGGCTAATGTGCTAAGTGAAATTGTCTGTACAGATATGAAGTGTCTTGTCATAGACAATAGTGATAGCGAGTTAATATGGTAAGTGAAATTGTTTGTGAACCATATATAAAGTGTTTGGTCACAGACAATAACCATTAAAGCGAGTTAATATGATAAGTAAAATTGTTTGTGAACTAGATTTAAATTGTCTGGCCACAGACAATAATCACTTAAACAAACTAGTAAGTTGAGATGAATTGTCTTTGAACCAAGTATGAAGTGACTTCTCATAATTTTCTATTCCAATTGAAATTGCGAGAAATTGTCTATGTTCACTTCTATTGTCTGTGTGCGCTTAAAACATTGTTTGTGTATTGATTTATTTCTTTTTGTGCATAGAAAATTATTTTTTGTATGTTCATTTATATTTTCTATGCATTATTAAAACATTGTCTATGAACACTAGAAAACATTGTCTATTTGTTCATTCCTTTATTTTATCTGTGCGTAGAAAATACGAAGTAATTTTTTATGTGTTTGTTTATATTTTCCGTGCGTGGCAACAAGCTTACCTAAAATTATTTTGTTTGCGAGCATCATAGATAGGCCTGGACTCGGGCCGGGCGGCCCGACCCGGAACCGGCCCGGCCCGGCCACTGTAGCAACCGGCCCGGCCCGGTGGCCCGGTCCACCGGCGGTTCGGGTCGAACCGGCCCGGTGGTTCCCGGTTCCGGGCCCGGGCCTTCCAAATGGTGAACCGGCCCGGCCGGTTCGGGCCCGGTCCGGGCCGGATTTTAATTTTTTTTTTTTTTTTTGAAATTTTTTTAAAGTTTTGGGTTGGAATAGGTATTTTGGGCCATTTGAGGTGGTTTGGGGTTGAGGGGGAGGGGTAGGGGATTATATAGGAGAACAAAAAAAAAAAAAAAATAAGTGGGCCGGTTCGGCCCGGCCCGGTTTGGCCCGGAACCGGCCACCGGCGGTTCGGGCCCGGGCCTCCCATTTCCTGGCCCGAGGCCCGGCCGGGCCCAGGCCCGAACCGGGCCCGAACCGGCCCGAGTCCAGGCCTAATCATAGACATTCTATTTTTAAAAGAATCACCATCTCAAACTAAAAAGCATTAGGCTAATAGCACAACTTCAATTCCTTTAGCAACATTCAAAGTCATTTTCATAATACAAAAGATAAAGTTTGAAAACACAAGCAACTCTAATGATACTATCATTGTAAATACAAAAATATTAACTTCACAATTTGATTAATTAAGAAAGTTAATAGCACAACATTGCATTTAACTCCTATCCAACTCTGCACATTGAGATGAAGCAAGTAGTAGTGGCTTTTGCAACAAGATAAATTCCTCCAATGGTTCAAACTGCAAAACAAAAAAAACTAATGTTCAAATAGTCAATTGATACTTATCAAATAAAATAGTCAAACAATGAGCATATAGAATAATGATTTAAACTGCAAAAAAAGGTTGAACTACAAAACTAGAAAATAAAAAATTGCCCAAGATAAAATAAATCAATCATTTTTGTGGGATACATCCTAAACAAGACATGATAAACAAGTGGATTAATCTGTAAAACAAGGCCATTGATAGTAATCATTTCCTTAGCAAAATAAATCCATTTCTGGGTTCCAAATAAAGTACAATGAACAACAAAAAATTAACCGAACAACCTTGAACATGAGCGTTGCTCCTTTATATTGCTTAGAAACATTTTAACGGTGCTAAGAAGTGTGTTCAGATCTTTCTTAAAATTCAATCAATGTTTAATTTAACATCATGGTTGTAACTTTTGGTACAAATTTGCTTGCACATATTTGCCGTAGTAACAGCTCCCAAACTGATGCTATAAACAAATGATAGTATATAAGAAATGCAAACTTTAGGATTGAAAAGTAAAAGTATAATAAACTATTGTGATCGCTAAGAACCACAATTTGTGACTTATACTGCTATAAATATTGTCTTAGCGGTCAAGTCTTGTTCAACATCTTTTAGTAAATTTCTTTTTTCATTTACAAGCAGCTCATTGATTTCTATATTCCATCTAAAAGGTCAAGGGTTGAATGATGGAAAAAGGGCTTTCTACCATTGTGGTATAATTACAACAACAAAGACATCTCAGGGAAGATCTGTATTGAATGTGCATTATGCTCTGATTTTGACCTTTGCATCGGATTCTTTTTAGATGTACATCCTCACAATAAAAATACCTACATCATTATTAAAATTGGGAAACAAGAAAACTAGAATCTTGAACCAATTAACAAAAAACAATCTGTAAAAAAAAACAATCAGTAAAACAATCACTAGAATCAAATGGGTTATTACCTCAATGTATGGGCTGGTTCACCTGGTTGATGGGGGCTTCTTGTACGAGCGGCTCAAATTGACCTCTCATCCATGCCTTGTGCACCGATTCCAACTGCAAACACCCCTAAAAGTTTATTTCGAGAATTTGGAAAATGAAAAAAGAAGTGAAATGAAGAAAGGAAAAGGAGAAAATGTATAAAGAACCCAATAAACAAGGTAGAGAAAATTATAGGTTAAACTTTACATTGAAGAGTGGCTGCTTGTTGGGAAAGAAGAAGTAGATCAACTGTCTTTATATCTTCCGTTGGAATGAGTTTGAGCTTGGGTGGAGGGAAAAATGGGGGAGGAAAAGGGGGCAGAAAATGGCGTAGAAGAGCTGGATGGGGGAGAGGAGAGATGGGGCGTACAACAAAGTTGGGGGAGAGAGGAGAAATGGGGGAAGAGGTAAATGAGATGAAAGGGGGTAATTATTTTTGGGAGTATATATAGTGGGTATATGGTGGGTTTTAAAATGGGTACAAAGAGCATTTCTCTTTTTTATTTGTGATGTCCATACCGAATTAAAAGTTTCGGCCTCGTTTCTAAGCTTCGGAATTGAAAGCTTCAGCCCAGTTCGTAGGCCTAATGATCAAGTTGGTAAAACAAAATT